AGGTGAACAGCAGGGGATTGAATTTTAGCTTATTTATTCCTTTTTGTTTCCTACTTCAACCTGACAAGACTAAGATCAATAGCACACAGTATATTTCTTATGTGGGCATTCCAAAGAGACCTCATTTACTTACATTTAAGTAAAACTTGTAAATAAAAGATACTTCCTAAATAGCTATTTATGTGACCTTTATGTGGACATGTTGCTTGCTAGCTATAATGTTTTCTAGACGTTGGATGGTTGAGAATGACTTTAAAAACAAAGATTTCCTCAGATTTCAAGTCATGTCTTATATATGTTGCACCAAATATCGTTTGATTATTTCATGGATTTCCTCAATTTCATCTTGTTCTGTGGTCTAACCTTATGTTTGGTCTATTTAAATATAGGTACATATATTGACAAGAAATGCCCATTCACTGGCAATGTTTCTATCCGAGGTCGTATCCTTGCTGGTACATGCCACAGTGCTAAGATGAACAGAACCATCATCGTTCGACGTAATTACCTACATTATGTCAAGAAGTATCAAAGGCAAGAGCTTGTCACTTATACTATGTTGGCTACTTCACTTCTTCTTTTGTTAGTTTTAACACATAAGTTATTTCAGATACGAGAAGAGGCACTCCAATATTCCTGCTCACATATCACCGTGCTTCCGTGTGAAAGAAGGAGATCATGTTACTATTGGACAGTGCAGGTTAGGACCATCTCATTTTGATTTTTCTATAGTATTTTTTCATTATTTGCTGTTATGGTAGTTGATTACATTTTCTGATTCACAGGCCTTTATCCAAAACCGTGAGGTTCAATGTCTTAAAGGTGATTCCAGCTGGTTCTGGTGGTGGCGGGAAAAAAGCTTTCACCGGGATGTAATATTTGTGCCTCCAATTCAAATTTTGTTTCTTGTAGGAATATTATGTCAAAACTTTTCTGCCTTTACTGGGTTGTTATCTTCAAATTTTGAAACTTAATGCTTAGTAAGTTTGTTTTATTAAGCTCTGAACTAGCTTATAAAATGTTGTTTTACTGAACCTTATACAGAAAGGATGTTTGGTGATTAAAATAGCCAGCTGCTTTGTAGTTTTATTAACAGGATTGCTAAGTAACAAATAAACACGATATTAAATAATTACAGAAGTCGTGTTTAACTGATTAGTCTACAAGTTGAAGCTAATTCAATGAATCAACGTACCTATTTTCTGAAATGTTATTTTACAAAAAATAGTCGATCATTTGAATCAAAGGTAATTGAAAGGTAGTTTTGACTATAATTATACTATACAACAAAATTTAATGTCAATTTAAGTGTCTGAAGTGCATAGATTTCGTCATTTAATATGTATTCAATGTCATCAAGTTATACATTTCGGAATTAATATAATCACAAATATGTGTTTAAAGTTATATATTGTTGGAGTTCAGACAAATATTACTAGATTCTAGCCATATAAATTTTAGACACCAAATGTTTTTAATTGTCCCTAAATTTATAGATTTGTACGCGTTGTGGATATATAACTTATATAGTGATATCAAAATTGAAGGAGAAACCTACATAAATTTCAGTGGTTTAGGAACTAATTACTTAAATATATTCTAGTTTTCAATATTACGAATCTTACTAAATTATAATGCGTTCAGATTTGTCCAGATACATGTATTTTGATGTCCAGATAAAGTATTTGTGAATTTTTACAATTTTGCTTGGTAGGATTTTGAGCCCATTTCGCAAGTCTAGTTATAGAATCTAATCCAGTCCGTCTCGAGTACTTATATAAGTTTCTCTAAGCCCATGCATCCTTCACTCTTTGCTGCAAATTAGGATTTTGGCATTTCTTCTCATTCAGTCCAGCCTCCTTCGTAACCTTCAACCATATCTGAGACTGGTAGTGTACTAACCACTTGAAGTCGTGTCTTGAAGGCTTGCCCCGCGACCCCCAACCTAGGAACAACACTAAGACATTTTGTTTTCATTTTTTTTAGTTAAAAGCATCGCATAATATAGTAATAGTGCCATGTCTGCAGCTGCGGAGTCCGTCTTCCCTTGAAAACACCTTTCAGAGTAGAGGCGAACCTAAAATTTGAAGATTTTGGGTGCACCAATATACACATAGCTCAAATATGAGCTCTAATCTAAACTTAAAATAAAAACAATAAAAGAAAAGGTCTTTAGTTAGATTCAAACCCTGGTCACAAGGGTGGTATCTCTAGCTTGTACCAGTAGCACAAGACACTTCTATGCTTATCATGGGTACACTGTTAAGTATATCCTAATTTCTACCAGTTTTTTAGAATAGATATACATATATACATATGATTTTTTTCGAAAGTTACCAGGTGCACGTGCAGAGGGAAGGTTTATAGTGTAGCGCTAAGGAATATTATTAGTAAGACAGACATATACAATGCATTTGTACTATAGCTTCAAAAGAAAATATATCCAGAATAGAAATTCTGTAAGATTATTTATCAATCTCGAGTGTTGTGAATTAGGCTATTTTCTCTCGGTGTAGAGGATTCATATAGAAAATGCAAACTAGTAAGAAATTAAGGATTGATGTACTAAATCTCACTTAGCTGATTCCGTTAATAATTTGTAGTTATAGAACATTAAAATATATTTGTTGTAAAACTTGTTATTAGGCAGGGACTCGAGTTATTAAGATGACATGCGAGGAGAAGTTATGCATTTCTCTTTGTTTAAGACTCTCCATACCTCGCGAGGTAGAAAGATTGTTTTTATTCTTTCACTTGTTATTTGGTTGAAATTGTAGAAGCTTACAAAATAACTTTTAGATTTATGTGCTTTTTAGAGCCTTGTAACAACAAGTAGGGGTGTACAAAATCAAACCGAAAACAGAACTAAACCGTAAATCGAGTCAAATCGAAAAAAAACCCGACTAGTGGTTTGGTTTGACTTGGTTTGGTATTGGAAAAAAAAACCCGACTATATTTGAGTTGGTTTGGTTTTAACTAAAAAAAACCAACCCGAGACCAAACCAACCCGACATTATATATGTGATTTTAAAATTTTATTTTATACATAACAATAGTTACTTTGATATAATTTTAAAATATTTCTTATACTATTTCATAGTTTTTATCTTTTAATATATTATTTCAAGTTTAAAACTTAGAATTTGGAATGGTCCAATAAATATTATAGTTCATAAATGTTGATAATTATAATAAAACTTAAATCAAAATCAAATTAATACTAATGCAAAAAGAAAATCAATTCAACACTAAGAATGACAATAATATTGAATATTTGTTCTTTAGTTTTACATTGGTTTAGACAACTAAAATACATAATCTAATTTTAATTTTCCTTAAATATTTAGTAATGTAACTAATACTTATTAAACTTATTTTAGCATGATTTAATACTTTTAAATTATGATCATTTTCATTATAGCTTTGCAATATTTATTTTATATGATGATTTCATTATTATTTTTTATTGAATATTTTTGTGTCATTAGTACTCATCTCATATTTTGTGTTATTTTTGTAAGAAACACCTTAGATAATTGTATTTTGGTTGGACTAAGGAAATATTTGGAGCACAAGTTAATTATATGTTTGTATGCAAACTTTACCGAAAAAATCCAAAAATATGAAAAAATTTGAGGTTTATTAGTTTGGTTTGATTTATAAATTTAAAAATTCGACACAATGGTTTGGTTTGGTATTTGAAAAACCCGAACCAACCCAAGGTTGAAAAACCCAAAAAAATCCAAATTTTATTAGTGTGGTTTGGTTTATAAATTTAAAATTATTACACAAATGGTTTGGTTTGATATTTGAAAAATCCGAACCAACCCGGTCATGTACACCCCTAACAACAAGTTACATAAAATTAGTATAGTAGTTTAGGCTCACATATTGACAATGACATTGCAAGCAATTTTTTTCTGCATTGTAAAATTGCTATGATTGCTTAATTTCACTTTGAGCACTGCTAATTGGCAAGACAAAATTTTGGCACGAATTGTCAAGACACGGATAAATGACAAAAATGTCCCTTTAGCTCCAAAACCACTTGTATTTCTCTCCAAAAAGGAAAACCACCTTTGACATTTTAATTATTATTTACTCTCTCTCTTACTTTTCTCTTTTTATCTCCTTTAACTTTACTCTCTCTCTTACTTTACTCTTTTTATCTCTTTCAACTTCACTATTCATTCTCATCCGTTTTATTTTTATGTTGATCAAGAATTTATTTTGTTGTTGGATTTATATAATTTTAACAAGATGGAATCGACTAGTCAGAATAGCCAATTAAACAATGTATTGAACAATGTTTTGGGGTTAGATGAGGATGATAGTTTGTTGTCCCAAAATGATGAACATCATGAAGATTCCGATGATGCATACGATGGGCCAGAACATTATTTATGCATAGTGATGATGAAGATGTTATTAACAAGCTCTTTGAAGAAATGAATCAACCGGAGCAAGAGGAATAAATAAGTGTTAGTGACGGAGAGGAATATGAAGCTGAAGAAGAATGTGATGAACAGACAAATTCAGCTAATGATGATAATTTTTCAGACCAACAATATATGGAAGGCCCTCTTGTATAAATGGTCTATTGTAGTGTAGAATCTCTTTTTACTTTTTATAAAGAACATAGTTGTTTAAATGGATTTGGAGTTCTTAAAAAGACTTCAAAAAAGAGAGGTTGTGAATACACTAGGTATGTCTCATTCGCTAGTGATAAGAGTAGAAAACCAACTGCTAAGAATTATAGTAAAAGGGTTGATTGCAAATGCAAAGTTAATTGTGTTGTGTTGCATGATGGTTCATGTCGCGTAACAACAGTTACGACGGAGCACAACCATGAGTTGCAACCATCTTTGGCACGTTTTTTTGGTTGCCATAGAAAAATAAGTAAGGCATTAAAATGAAACCTTGAAGTCCATGACATCGCAGGAATTAGACTTGCCAAAAGCATTAGACTTTTGGAAGTACAAGCAGGTGGTCCAGATAGAATGGGATGCACACCTAAAGACTGTCGAAACTACATTCTTCAACAACGCAGGATGAGGACATTGTCATGCGATGCTGCGGCAATACAAAAATTCTTCGCTTCAATGCAGATGAAGGACGATGAATTTTTTTATGTAATTGACACAGATAATGTTGGTAGACTTCGCAACGTAGTGTGGGTTCACACACATTGCAAGTATACATATTGGGAGTTTAGTGATGTTATTTGTTTCGATTCAACGTACTTGGAGAATCAATGGCGCATGCTGTTTGCATCTCTTGTTGGTGTGAATCAACACAAACAGTCTATTCTTTTGGGCTGCGCTTTGCTCACAAGTGAGGATATTAAGACATACAAATTTGTTTTCTCTACTTGGCTGGCAGTAATGGGCAATGAACCTCCAACGGCTATCCTCACTGATCAATGTGAGAGTATCAAGGCAGCAATTGCAGAGGTACTTCCAGACACCATCTATAGGTATTGTATTTGGCACATCATGACAAAGCTGCCTGCAAAGCTTAAGGGTGTGTGGGACTTTAAGATTGCCAAGTTTGAATTTAAAACAATAATCTATAACATCATCACTATCAACGAATTTGAGAAAAAATGGGTTGGCTTTATTCAAAAATATGAGCTTCAGCATAGACTATGGTTTCTTAATCTATACTTGGAGAAGGAAAAATGGATCCCTGTCTTCTTGAAACAGTATTTTTGGGCTGGCATGATGTCCACCCAAAGAAGTGAGTCAATGCATGCATTTTTTTATGGTTATATATCCAATCGAAGCTCTCTAAAGCAGTTCGTCGAGCAGTATGAGTTAGCCTTGCGATTTAAATATGAGAAGGAACTTCAAGCAGAAGCTGACTCACGAAAAAAACATGCAGCACCTTGTAGTGGTTTTGATTGGGATTTGCAGCTTCAAACCCATTATACTCGACCTATTTACGATGCCTTTGCAGCAGAGCATTTGAAGCGGTTGTACCACTGTGAAATTGAAAGACACCATGATTTCAATGTCGTGGAGGGAGTTGAGAAGTACAGTATAACAGATTATTCCATATCTAATGATTTTCATAGAAATCGATTTGTTTACATTGTGGCATATCGGCCACAGAATCGATATCTGGATTGCAATTGCAAGAATTTCCAAAGTGAAGGTGTTGTTTGCTGCCACATTTTAAAGACTATGTCTCATTGTAGAATTAAAATGTTCCATGACAGATATATTCTACGCCAGTGGAGAAGGGACGTAATTCGACCACACATAGGTAAATTCTTTCAGGGAGGCTATCCATCAATGATCGATGAGTACAAGAAGTACAATTCCTTGAATGATAGGAATTGTGATGTTGTGTTGGACAACAACGCTAAATATGCGGATTTTAAAAATATTTTGAAAGGACGTTTCAATGCATATTGTAATTGGAATGACGAAATAACAGTCCCTAACGTTGGTGATCCAGACTCAGAAGAAGATGTAACATTCATTAGGAACCCAAGGGAAGTTCGAACACGTGGAAGGCCTTCGACTAATAGATGTAGGAAAGGTGGTGGAAGGTGGAATAAAATATATTATCATGCAGATCAAGTGGGTGAGACTAGTCAAGGTCGGAGGGGTGGTGGGAGACGGGGTGTAGGTCGAAGGGCTGGTAGAGGTGGTCGAGGCGGTGGTATAAAGGCGTAGATTATTCATGTAATTTGTAATCGTACATTATTTAAAAATATTTTTTAATCATTAGGGATAAGTATATTTGAAATTTTTATTATTAAGATCAAATTGAGAAAGTAATACACATAATCCTCCATAACAGCAGACGGAAATCATTTACGGAACTCAGTCATTTAAACTCTACTCAACCCAGTTCCAAATCAATTCATTCAATATTCTTGGGCAGTCTAATTGTTGGGCCTATTTGTGGTATCGTGACAGGCCCAGCAGGTTGGCTATCCTCTAATACTTTGATAGTGGTAACACTCAATATTTCGAAGTCTTGGACAAAACAGTCAAGTTAAAATATAAGTTTTTTTTTTTAATTTTTCTTGAGTATATTATTTTGTGGCCTTTATAAAAGTTAATTTTTTCAAACATCAGCACTATACATTGTAACATCTTATAACACGGAAATCATCCTGAAATTAATGAAATGAAGAGGCTACATTCTTCTATTGAATCCTTTGATAATGGTCTGCTTGGTGAAATTGTAGAAAGGGTTGCTTCCAACTCATTCAACGATTTATTAAATTTAAGATTGAGTTATGTAAATTTTTAATCTAAATCAGTTGTTTACATTCATGTTTGATAACCTATGTATTTTTTTTTCCAGTTGCAAGTTATTTAACCAAATAGGAAGTGAACGGTGGCTTTACAAGAAACTTTCTTTGCACGATGTTCCCCTTAAGATATTGACGCGCCGAACATCAAAGAAGATTAACAATGTATTGTCGAGATCGTCTTCGTCAAATGTTAAGTGTATCATGGGTTTTGAATAGTTTATTTATGGAAAAACCCAGTCATTGTTACGGTTGTAGTGCTAATGAAGAAATTACATTGTTTTATGGTGGCTAGCAGTGCTTATGATTTAATTACGTCTTTTTTTATCCGTTTTGTAGCTTAGTTTTTTAATGGCATTTTGGTTCGTCATTGTTTACTTTCACATGGATCTATGTTAAATTTTATTAGTAAATTTAGCAAACACACCTAACACTAGAAGTAGATAATGGTTGTTTTCATAATCATAGATATAAAACAAAAAAATATTACATACTAACCCCATGCATTATGCAATGGAGTAAACATAACAACAACAAAAAAAAAAACTAAAATAAAATACAGCAAAAAGGACCTCATCCAGCGTCCTTATGCTGTGCCAAGAAACCTACAACTTCAGGCTCCTTTGGCAAGCCCTCTTTTCCTCGGACAAACCATTAAGTGAAGTTCCCTCTCCTGCTCGTAGAGTAATTTCAGAAACTCCGTCTGCGCCAACAGCAAAACCATTTGGTGATTTAGCAACCACCTTCTCGTATATCTCAAAAGTTTGGGTGAGGGGTGGTTCATCCATTAAAAGCATCATTTTGACCCACCTCTTACCCTTCCATTCGATCAGCCGCTTCAGGAACTCTGCTATTTCCTCCTCTATTTTCTGGTATGACTCCCGTTTTATGTAATATAACCTTTCCACAACCTCCGGAGAGGTTGGGAATGACATTGCCCTTTTTTTGTTATAAGGAGTTGTGTAGTTCTCAAAACTCATCTTTTTTCAAGTACGTATAAATTTCTATTTTGAAATGGTTCTGGTGTGAGGAATACATTTACCGGGAGTCTCAATTTATAGTGAAAAGATTGGAGCCAAAAGTGACGTGTTTGGCTCCCAAAAATTTGTTTATCGAAAATAAAAGAGAAGGAAAGATAATGTGTGACTGAGATCTTTCTCTTCATCTAATTAAAACTACTTGAGTATACTTACCACTCCTTGAAAACTGTTGATTTGATGAGTTGAATTTTATTTCACCCTTCCTTTTTTAATATATGATAAATGAATTGTTAATCAAGTTTATTATGATGTAAGAAAATACAATGTTATGTGTGTTCAAAATATCTTTTCATAGGAGTAAAAATGATAATTTTACTATTACGAAATTTATTTATTATTTATCTAATTTTTACTACAAAATTAAAAAAATTAATATTAAATTTGTCACTAGATAATAAAGAACCAAAATGTGAGAATGGATGGGATTATTCACTCTTGTTTTTTAATCCATTTATTAAACAAGTTTTTTAGAAGGTAAGAATATAAAATGTTACGTGTGTTCAAAAATGATTATTTGATACGAGTAAATTTGTCACTAGATAATTGGTCTCCAACAATTGTTAGTAGGAAAATAAAAGAAAAAGAAATAAAATCTATGAATGGACGAGATTAATGTAGCTGTTCACTCTAATTAAAACTACTTGAGTATGCCTACAACTTGTTGAAAAGACATGATTTGATGAGTTAGAAGGTAAGAAAGTAAAAAATAACATTTTCATACCAATATAAATGACCAATTTTTATAAGGTAAGAAAATATAGTTCGATTAATTAATTTAATCATTAATATTTTTAATGTTACGTAATAATTATTCGAGGCATTTAATATACTAATTTCATGAAAAATAAATTTTATTCTTATATCGAAATGTAAATAACGTGAAATGACGGAATGGATTAGTTGTTCAAGCTTAAGAGAAGTACTTGAGTACACCTAGAGGCTAGAAAGTTGACAAGATTTGAATTGATTAGTTGAATTTTCTTGCACTCTTCCTTTGTAAGGCAAATCCATTAATTAAGATCTTTTATCGGAAGGTAAGAATATAAATTTAATTAACTAATTTAATCATCAAAATATTCTATGATATAAAAATTTTCAGACCTTTTGTTATTAATATTATTGAAAATAAATTTATTCTTATATCAAAATTTTGTTGTAATAAATATAACAAAGGTGAACCGACGGAATAATTTTATTATTTTTTCAAGTCTAAGATAAGTTCTTGAGTACACCTAGAATTTTGACAAGATTTGATTTGATAAGTTGAATCTCTTACGCTCTTCTTTTTTAAGATCAATTTTACTTGAAGATAAGAATTTAAAATATAATTAAATTAATTGTTGACACCCAATTTTGACCGACCTTTAACCTTTTTGGAATGCTATTCGATTAAATACGTGTTTAAAAAAAAAAAAAATTTTGAGTTTAAAATTTTAATTGATTTTGTCTAAAAATTGTACATTTTAGTACACGTGCTTTATAAAATTATCGTAAATATTATTAAATATTTTTAATTATTAGTAAAACTAAAAGTATTTATTTTATTTAAATGTTTTAAAATTTAAGTGATTTTAATTATATAAAAATATTATGATATGTGTAGTATTTAATTGAAATAGCATTTCTTAAAAATTTCTTCAAAATCATTTAACTTGTAGCCTATTTTATTCTAATTTCTTTCAATTCTAGCCTAAACAATTCCAATTTTATTTCAATAATAACCATCCCCTCATTGCAATTCTAGCCAAATTTATTTCAAATTTTGGCCATTTCAAATCCAATTAAATCTGATTTAAAATCACTCTTTTAAATCTTGACCGTCTATCTCATTCCGTTTAAATCCTAGCCCTTCATCTATAATTAAATCAACATACGAGATCGATTCCTTTAACTCTTTCCTATTTTAACCTAAAAATACCTAATCCATTCATTTTTTCCACTCTCTCTTCTTCTCTAAAAAAATTCTGCCGCCCCAACTCCTCCTTCCCCCTCTCCATTTTTTTCGGCGAGACAGCCACCGGCTAGGCCGGCAGCCGCTGGCCTCCATCGCTGCTCCCTCCCCTCCTCTCCGTCTCCTCTTTTCTCGTTTCCTCTTCTCCGGCGAGAATGTCGAGAAGCAGCAGCAGCTCCGGCGAGAGCAGCAGCCGCTGGCCGCCTATGTCTCTCTTCTCCGACCAACAGCCAGCAACACTGGCAGCAGCAACAGCCACCACGAGAACAACAAACAGCTCCAGCGATCACCACTGGCGAAAATCAGCAGCAGCCGCCGGTGGAAGCAACCAGCAGCAAGAACGCTGCTCCGAGATGGAAAAAACTCCAGCGACAACTAGCGCCTCCGCCCCTCCCTTCTTCGGCGAAGCTCAAAGGCTATGGAAGACGGATTTTCACAGATCCGTTCGGGTTTGTTCTCCTAAATTAGATTATATGATTTCTCTATTTGATTATGAATATATGATTTTGCATGTTTGCGTTGATTAATGGTTGTGAATTTTTGTCCTAAGCATTGCAAATTTTTGATTGATTAGATTTTGCTTCATTAGTATGATGACGTTGTACTGTCAATTGTTAGCCTGTTAAATTGTTGGAACTGTCAATCTTCATTTCATTTCTAAGTGATATCTTCATTTCTACCCCTATGCTTGACAGATTTTGATTGGAATTTGCATACTGTAGATTTTTAATTTTATAAATGGAAGCATGAACAAATTTCCTTATTTTTCTTTTAGTAAATGATCTTACATGCTATTAATTACTAGTTATTGTAAATCGATCCCTCATCCCCTAATTATTGTCCTAAGCAGATTTTCTACATATTATATGCTTGGTAAGTGTTGATTTTAATTCGTTTCCTTTGCTTGTGGACTGATCTTACTTCCTTCGAATAAGGAATTGATAATGCATAATTGGCCCCAAGATTACTCTTTTCCTTAAATGTTTATTCCGCCAATTTGTGTGTATTAATATAGTGATTGATTCCCTTGGCTTAATTAGGATTCAAATAGATTCTTACTTATTTATTTATGGTAATATAACAATAACTAATTTTCTTACTTAGGTGTTTATTGCTTTCCTTATGCATGCTAGCCGGTTCTTACCTTATTATTTGTAACTTTTAATTATATTCATGTCTTATTTAGCTGCTCTTATAATTGGTAAAAGTTTTAAAATCGGATTTAGTTCTTCTTTAATAAAGGAAAATGTTATATTGTTTGATTCCTTAAAATATTTAATTCCCTTATATATGCCCCTCTTCTAATATATAAATAGGACTCCTCCCTTCATTATTCACACACTCTAAACAGCCGAACTTACTCTTGAATATTTTAAAAAATATTGCTCTCTACTCTTAAAAAGAATTAAGATTTCGGTGAAC